TACAAGCCAAACTCTTTGAGCTAATCCTAGGTGCTGAGATATTTCAAGTTGGAAATTGATCACATGGCTCTCTTGTTATGCTTTCCAAAGTCTCAATAACCCCCACTGGTTTTCAAGCCCGGGCACAATATTTGAACCGGGCCATACCAAGACTGACAAATTTACATGATTTATTTTATATTAAATTGGGCTGTGAAAGTATAGGACCTACAAGGAAATATCCTCTGTATTGTGAAATCAAGAATTGCGAATTCGCCTATCTGTGCCAAAAAATAAGAAACAACAAAATTCAACATCCACGTGCAAAACTGGCATTTCCAGGATTTTTAACTTATTTTTAAACAAACTTCACACTCACATGCTCAGGAACGGAACCCTCACAGATACGAGGAATAACTGTATTTTACTTCACCTGCATCTTCAACCTGAATATCTTTTCAAAAGGCCTTTCAGAAAGTTGTATCAGGTTTCCCTGATAAGATCTCTGTCTAATTTGTCACATGACAATTTTAATGATACTCTCATTACTTAAGTCAAGCCAATGGGCCTATAGTCACAACTATCCCCTTTCGTTAAAAAAAAGGACTTTGTAGGATGACCAACTCTCCAGTTTATTAAGCGATTAAGATCCTTAAGTTTGACTGTTTGTTTCTCATTCCTGATTTCCCTTCATTCTAAACAAACTGCAGGACACGCTCTCACCTTCCTTTTGCATCTAGGATTTCTTTGTACACACACAAGTGTTGTGATAGTGACAGTGACTGTGACTATCCACAACTGGGAGAGCATATCATCCACACCCACTCTTACAATCAGCAACATTCAACACCTCATTCCCCCTTGGTCCCATAGTCAAAGCATCCTTTACTTATTTCATAAGATACTGCCATTATGCCTGTTATATTTAATCTGAATAATTATCTCCTGATTTGAAGGAGCAACCAATGAAATCAATCATAGGGTCTCAGCATCGCACCAGCGTGGGAGCAGGTCGTTCAGCCCATCGAGTTCGCACTGACCCTCTGATCTTCCCTCCCAGCCCCATCCCCCTGCCCTGTCCCTGTAATTCTGCATTTCCCATGGCTTTTCCACCTAGCCTGCACATCTTTTAACTGTAGGAGAAAACTGGAGCACCTGGATGAAACCCATATGGACGTGGGGAGAACATGATAACTCCAAACAGAGAGTTGCTTGAGGATGGAATAGAAACCAAAAACCTAGCACTGTGAGGCAGTGCTAACATCGGAGGCACCGTGCTGCCATCGTGGTGGCAATGGCTAGTGGATATTACCAGAGATGGCAGCTCTGTTTCAACAATCCTTAGGCATACACACACACACGGACACACACACACACACACACAAACACACTCACACACACACACACACACACTCACACATGCACACACTCACATGCACAAACACACTCACTCACACATGCACACACTCACATGCACACACTCACACACACACACTCACACACACACACACATGCAACCACTCACACACACACATACTCACTCACATACACTCACACACACACTCACACATGCACACACTCATATGCACACACACACACTCACACACAAACATCACATACATACACACACACACACATTCACTCACACACTCACACATGTACACACTCACATGCACACACTCACTCACATATGCACGCACTCACATGCACACACACATGCACACACACACACACACACACAACCACACACACACATACACACATGCAAGTGCACACACATATATATACTCACACACACTCATGCACACACACACGCACACACACACGTAGGATGAGAGCACTCGGAGGAAGCATTATCAAGGCCATCTCCTCCATTCCTGACCAGTCCAGATCCTGACACCTCAGGGGGAAGGTTAACATTAAACACACACACACACACACACACACACACACACACACTCACACATATACACACACAGAACAGGCACACACACTCACATACTCACACGCACACTCTCACACACACACACACTCATGCACTCACTCACATAGGCACACACACTCACACGCACACTC